GCACCTTTGGGGACATTCCCAGTGCCCCCCGTGTGTCCCCCTGACCCCCCGTGTCCCCTCTGTCCCCCCAGGAGTGCAGCACCTTTGGGGACATGCCCGGTGTCCCCCGTGTCCCCCCCTGACCCCCCGTGTCCCCTCTGTCCCCCCAGGAGTGCAGTGCCCTGGGGGACATGCCCGGCTCCTTCGTGCCCACGGTGACGGCCATCACCACCAGCCAGGACCTGCAGTGGCTGGTGCAGCCCACCCTCATCTCCTCGGTGGCCCCGGGGGCTCCGATGGCGCAGCCCCCGCCCCCCCTCGACCCCTACGACCTGCCCGGACCCAGCTACTCCACCCCCGGCCTGGGCGCCTTCGCGGGACCCCCGGCCCCGACCCCCGCCCGGGCCCCCCGCGCCCGCCCCCGGCGCAGCCGCGACGAGACGGTGAGGGGGGGCCGTGGGGACGTGGGGGGACCGTGGGGACATGGTGGTGGGGGGGTGGCACCTCGGTGACAGAAGCGGCAGGAGCTTGAGGGACGTCCCAGGCCGGTGGCACCTCGGGGACAGGGAGGGGACGGCAGCGCGGGGGGGGGGGACATCGCGGGTGGCAGCAGCTTTAGGGACACGAGTGGTGCCACCCTGGGGGGGCGAGCAGGGTGGTGGCACCTCGGGGACATCGCGGTTGGCGGTGCCACCGACGCCGGGGGAGCATCGCGGGGCTGGGGGGGCTTTGGGGGACACGGAGGGGTTTGGGGCGGGGGGAGCTCGGCGCCGGGGGCCGTGGGGACGCGGTGGCAGCGGGTGGCAGCGGGTGACAGTCCCGTCCGGTGGCAGCTGACGCCCGAGGAGGAGGAAAAGCGCCGCGTGCGCCGCGAGAGGAACAAGTTGGCGGCGGCCAAATGTCGGAACCGGCGCCGGGAGCTGACGGACCGGCTGCAGGCGGTGAGTGGGGACACGGAGGGGACACGGGGGGGTGGGGGTGGTGGCGATGTCCCCACGCCTTGGGGTCCGTGTGGGGAGGGCGGTTGGGGACAGGGGTGTCCCCAGAGCCGAGGGATGCTGGAGGGGAGGAGGAGGAGGAGGAGGAGGATGGCGACGCCCTCGGAGCTGGGGACATCTCGGGGACACGCTGCCCCCCGTCCTGGGGAGCTGGGGACACCAGATGGGGACAGTAGCATGCCCAGAGCCCAGGGATGGCGGAGGGCGTGAGGAGGAAGATGATGATGATGATGATGATGATGATGATGATGATGTCCTTGGAGCTGGGGACATCTGGGGGACAGGCAGACCCCGGTCCCAAGGAGCTGGGGACACCAGATGGGGACAGTGGTGACACCAGGGCCAGGGACACTGGAGAAGAGGGTGATGAAGGTGATGAGGGTGATGAGGATGATGAGGGTGATGAGGAGGATGAGGATGATGAAGATGATGAGGAGGATGAGGAGGATGAGGAGGATGAGGAGGATGAGGATGATGAGGGTGATGAGGATGATGAGGGTGATGAGGAGGATGAGGGTGATGAGGATGATGAGGGTGAGGAGGATGAGGAGGATGAGGGTGATGAGGGTGATGAGGAGGATGAGGGTGATGAGGATGATGAGGATGATGGGGGTGATGAGGAGGATGAGGGTGATGAAGATGATGAGGGTGATGAGGATGATGAAGATGATGAGGATGATGAAGATGATGAGGGTGATGAGGGTGATGAAGATGGTGAGGGTGATGAAGATGATGAGGGTGATGAGGGTGATGAAGATGATGAAGATGATGAGGATGATGATGAGGATGATGAGGTGACCTCAGAGCTGGGCACAGCGGTGTCCCCAGGCCCAGGGACGCTGCGAGGGGACAGTGACATCCCTGGGGACACCAGAGGGGATTGGCCAGTTTGCCCTTGGTTGGCTGGGACCGTTGGGGGGAGGTGACAACGACCCCAGGATTTGGGGACCTCAGAGGGGCACCCTGGGGGTGGTGGCACCGCAGGGGACCGAGGGTGTCCCCAGAAACTGGGGACACCAGAGGGGACACCCCGGGGTGCTGCAGGAGGAGGAGGATGAGATGGACCCCCAGGGCTGTCCCCAGGCTTGGGGACATTGGATGGACCCCCAGGGCTGTCCCCTGGCTTGGGGACATTGGATGGACCCCCAGGGCTGTCCCCTGGCTCGGGGACATCAGAGGGGACAAATGGGGCACCCAGGGGTGCTGCAGGAGGAGGAGGAGGAGGGGGATGGCACCCCTGTAAGCAGGGACAGATGGACCCCCAGGACTGTCCCCAGGCTCGGGGACACCAGAGGGGACACTCAGGGATGTGGCAGAGCCAGGGATGTCCCCAGACGAGCCCGCAGGGCTGTCCCCAGGCTCGGGGACACCAGAGGGGACACTCAGGGATGTGGCGGAGCCAGGGATGTCCCCAGGCTCGGGGACACCAGAGGGGACACTCAGGGATGTGGCGGAGCCAGGGATGTCCCCAGAGCAGCCCTCAGGACTGTCCCCACGCTCAGTGACCCTCAGCGTCCCCTCAGAGACCCCCGAGCTGCCACATCCCCCCCCCAGTTGTGTCCCCACTCTCAGTGACCCCCGGCAGCCCCCTCCCCACTCTCAGTTGTGTCCCCGCTCTCAGTG